GAGGACCCCTAGAGGTCGGGGATACTTTTGTCCAGACTCCAATGTAAACAATCAAATCCAGGTTATTTAAAAAGTTGAGGGTCTCTGCAGCTCTTTAAACCATCAGCCAAGAAACGGGTCCTATCAGGGCCAGGTGGGGTTTGACTCTTACATCTGCACAATCGGAAGCCGGTGTTTAAAACTGAAAGTCTCAACACTAGTGGCAGAGAAAACACCAATTTCATAGTACTTTGAGGTTGTTATTATTACTACCTTTAAAAAATCAAAAACCCGTTGCCGATTCCCACTCATAGCAGCCCTACAGGACAGAGCAGAACTGCCCCACAGGGTTTCCAAGGAGCAGCTGGTGGATTCGAACTGCTTTTTGGTGAGCAGCTGAGCTCTTAACCACTGCACCACCAGGGCTCCATTGGTACATTTATGCATCCCAAAACAGATTTTAAAAACTCGATGTCTCCCTCTTTCTGCCCTCTCCAGATACTCCATGAGAAAAACATTAGGAGGATCATCATTTAATGGAGCCACTCAGAACTTCAATCTGTGGCTGAGAAATCCCCACCTCTTCTGTCTGTGCCTCTCACAGAGACTGTTATTAGCTGCCCATTAGCCTCCACCTCATGGAGAGCCTATGTATAACAGAGTGAAAATTTGGTACCGTGCCATCTTCGTGATCATTGGCATGTTTGATTCCTGTCGGACAATATCCTGCTCTGATCCATAAGGATATCATTGACTAATTTAAAAAAATAGATTGCCAGGCATTTCTTCCTAGTCTGTTAATAGTCTGGAACCACCGTTGAAACCTGTCCACCTGGGTGACCCTGCTGGTATTTGAAATATTGGTGGCACAGCTTCCAGCCATGACAGCAACATCTAAGCCACCACAGCACAACAAACGGACAGATGAGTGGAGACTCAGATTAAACCAAAAGAAAAAGCAAACCCATTTCCATTGAGTCGATTCTGATGCATAGCGACCCTAAAGGGCAGACCAGAACTGTTCCATATGGTTTCCATGGCTGTAAATCTTTACAGAAGCAGACTGAGACATCTTCCTCCCACACAGCAGCTGGTGGGTTCTAACCACTGACCTTTTGGTTAGCAGCTGAGTGCTTTAACCTCTGTACCACCAGGGTTCCTTCAGAGACTAGGCCCTATAAAATACCTGTCCATAAATAGAAGGGCCTTAAAGAGCTAGTAATTTTATGACTGATATTAAACATTTGAACCATATGTTTAAAAGTGAAAATTTCCATCTACATGCAAAAAGAAAAACTAAAGACATTACAGGGTTTGGTTCTTTTCTTCACCACTTGATGACCACAGCCTAACAAGATACTATTAGGTGAACTATCAGTATATTTACACATGGTTATTGGCCAAGGAAGGAGCCCCACTACTGGCATGGTGGCTAAGTGCTCTGCTGCTAACTGAAAGGTCAGTGGTTAGAACCCACCTAATGCTACAGAAGAAAAGACCTGGAGATCTGTTCCCATAAAGATTACAGCCTAGGAAACCCTATGGTGCAGTTCCACTCTGTCTATAGGGTCATTGAGTTGGAATGGACTTGACAGCACACAATGAACAATGAAATTCTGAGACAGAAGAGCCCACCAGCCCTCCTGAGCTCTACCGCACACGTGCATAGCCTTTGCCAACACCTATGCCTTGGCCTCCTCTATACTATGAACTGAGATAGATTGATGTCCAGTATATATTGTTAAGTGGGAAAAAGTACATTTATGTGAAGAAAACATGATAAATAACCAACATACACTCATGTATATATTTCTGTATTCTGGGGGAGGGATATTTCTGAGAAACACTGGGAGGTTACACAGGAAGCAAAATGGAAATGGTTACCAATGGGTGGTGATAGTAACTGAACACAAGTACTATAGGAGGAAGTCAGCCTTCTCAATACATCTTGTCATACAGTCTTCAGTTTTGAACCATGTGAAAGTTTTATGTTAAAGGGATAATTCAAAACAAACTTTGAAATTAAATGTAAACAGAAAGAGTAAATGTAGTAACATATCAAACTGCCACTGCCCATCTGGGAGTTTGACATACTGTGGTGGCTGGCATGTTGCTGATGCAGGAAGCTATACCACCAGTACTTCAAATATGAGCAGGGTCACCCATGGTGGACAAGCATTAGTGGGGCTTACAGACTTCAACAGCCCAGGAAGACTTGGCAATCTACTTTAGAAAATCAGTCAATAAAAACCTTAAGGATCACAACAGAACATCGTCTGATTTAGTGCTGAAAGAAGAGCCCACTGGGTTTGAAGCCACTACTCAAAACTATCAACGATCATGAAGATGGTGCAGAACTGGGCAACATTTTGTTCTGTTATGTAGGAGGTGATGGAGCCCTGGAGGTGCAATGGTTTAGCACTTGGCTACTAACAAAATGGTTGACAGTTCAAACCCACCCAGCAGCTCCACAGGAAAAAGACCTGGCAATCTGCTTATGTAAAGATTACGGCCAAGAAAACCCTATGGGGCTATTTTCTGTCACATGGAGTCACTATGAATTGGAATTGACTCCATGGCACAGAACAACATAAATAAGGTCACCATGAGCTAGAGCCAACTCGATGGCAGCAAACAATATAAAATTGATCAGTAACTATGCACAAGAGTTTGTGCTCAAGCCAACGTTTAAGCAAGGCAATCTTGTATTAATATCCTTAATGTAAATATATAATCAGTATAAGTACAAAAGCAAAGGTGAAAAAACTCAGGACTTTACAAAATAAGTTTTTAGTCAGTAGTACTCTTAGTATTATGACATTGAAACTATTTGAATATTACTAGGAACCAAGGTTATTAAAACAGATGCAAATGTAAAATAATAGAAAGTGACAAGGTTTGCCCATTTAGCTGTCCCATGAATGTTCCTTGTTTCAGCCTAATAAATCAGCCTTGAGCAAACACTTCTGAAAACCATTAGAATTCTTGCTAAAATCCTATCTTCCTGCCATATTTTTGCTTACCAACTTCAAATTAGTAAGTTTTCAGTGCCCCATGACACCCAGAACTTATAAAAGACCTCTTGCCTCACCTTACCCCTTGGAGTTGAACTCAGACTTATGCTGAGTTCTCTTTCCTATCACAAGACTGAATAAAGTCTAGTTTGCCTGTTTAACATTGTCTAGCATCATTTTGCATATTTAACATTGTCTGGCACCATTTCTTATACATACATACATATATATAACCTTGAATTTGTATTAGGAATAAGACTATCAATATATGATATAAGAAATTATGTATTTTACATGCTCACTGAAATGCCGAGACAAAACTGACTCAATTCTAACAGGTTTCGGTTTATCACCGAGCACATATATCGCACACACGTTTGTTTTTAAAAGGAACCAGAGGTTTGGGGAGAAAGGGTTGATTCCAGATCTGAAAGAGGAAAGTACAAAGTGATCCAGGGCCTTCTTTTGCATTCAGACACTAATAGGGTTGTGTCAACAATCTATGTGGTTGGTGCAACTAAGAAACTGAATAAACTTTAATTTTTATTAATTTAAATATAACAATAAACTTGATTCAATTATTGGAAAAGTATGCTTGGAGTAACCTGTGATTGTGAACCTACTTTTCAACAATAAAATTTATGAAATGTGCTGCTTCTGGATTCTGGAAGATGGAGTACAAAAAAAGGAAATATAAAATGCCTCATAAATATCTTAATTTAGTTAATTTCATTTATAATTTTTACCTTGACAATACATGGACATATTGGTTTAAATAAGATTTTTCATTAAAAATTTCACATTTACATTTTTAAATGTCTACTATGGCTACTAAAATATTTTAAAGTACATCGTTGACCTGCATTACATTTCTATTAGAACTGTGCAAGACCCAACATCTACCTTACAAAAAATACAGAAGACAAACTAATTAGAGAAAATCATAATAAAACAAATACGGTAAAACCTGTGAGCCGCAAAGTGATGGGAGTGCCTTGTTTTACCAGGTCTTGCATGTTTTCCACCTTTGGCTGCTTACCACTTTTCCTTTGCTCTCTATTAAGAATCTTACATCATAAACACCCAGTGAGTTTTTCTTCTCTGACAGGTTTCTGACTTGCACGGGTATGACTGTATCAGAATGCTGAACACTTTAACATTTTACAAGACAAGCAGGAGAATGTTCTGTGTAAGACAGATTAAAAAGATCTAGAAATAAAAAGGAAACCTGGAATTATGGTTTAGACACTAACTTCAAAAAACCCAACAACCATAATTTATGGACAACTGGAGAAATTTTCATTTGTTGTGAGGGACAATGAAGATCTGAGCTGTTCTGGTAGGAAACTGACCTTATCTGTAGGAGCTTAAAGGGTGAAGTGAATGTCTGCAATTAACCATCAGTTGTTTCATCATAATAATTCATATACATAGAAAAACTCCTTACATTTATAAAGGCTCTTGAAACCGTGAATTTTTTTTATTGTACTTTAGGTGAAGGTTTACAGAACAAATTGTTTCTTATTAAACAGTACACACATTGTTTTATGACATTGGTTAACAACCCCACGACATGTGAGGACTCTCTGTTCTCAACCTTGAAGTACCTTTTCTTTTGTTGGTGAAAATATACACAGCCAAAAATACACCATTTCAGAAATTTCTACATGTAAAATTCAGTGACATCTATTACATTCTTCCAGTTGTGCTGCTATTTCTCACTATCCTTTTCCAAATTATTCCATCACCATTATCTTCAACTCACTGGCACCTAGGCTTCCCATCAAACTTTTTGAGTAGCTGTTGTAAATTTAATCTCACATAGATAATTCTTTTAAAACATGAATTTTTATATGATTAGTGAGGTTTGAGGAATCAAAACAGAATTTCCCACATTCCATATATTCAAAACGTTTCTCTCTGGAGTGATTTCTTATGTATTCAGTGAGGGATGAGGAATAACTAAATGCTTCCCCACAATCCTTACTGAAAGCCTCTCTCCACTGTGAATTCTTATATGTGTAGTGAGGTGTAAGGACTGACGAAAGGCTTTGCCACATTTCTTACATTCATAAGGCCTCTCATCACTGTGAATTTTCACGTTTAGTGAGGACTGAGAAGTGACAAAAGGTTTTGCCACATTCCTTACATTCATAAGGCCTCTCACCACTATCAGTTCTTATATGTGAAGTGAGCTGTGAGGAGTAACTAAAAGCTTTGCCACATTCCTTACATTCATAAGACCTTTCACCACCGTGAGTTCTCATATGTATAGTGAGGTCTGAGGAGTGACAAAAGGCTTTGCCACATTCCACACATTTATAAGGTTTCTCTCCACAGTGAGTTCTCATATGTTTAGTGAGGTTCGAGGAAACACTAAAGGCTTTGCCACATTCCTTACATTCATAAGGCCTCTCTCCACTGTGAGTTCTTACGTGTTTAGTGAGGTTTGAGGAGTGACTAAAGGTTTTGCCACATGCCTTACATTCATAAGGCCTCTGATGACTGTGAGTTCTTGTATGTGAACTGAGGTGTGAGGACTTACTAAAAGCTTTGCCACATTTCTTACATTCATAAGGTCTCTCACCACTGTGAGTTCTAATATGTACAGTGAGGTCTGATGAGTGACAAAAGGCTTTGCCACATTCCTTACATTCGTAAGGTCTCTCTCCACAGTGAGTTCGCATATGTGCAGTGAGGGCTGAGGACCAATGAAAGGCTTTGCCACATTCCTTACATTCATAACGTCTCTC